CTCACAGGATCTGTGTCTTGACTTGGACTCTCCACAGAGAGTTCCCAAACCTGCTGCATGCAAGGAGACATGATAGCCTCCGTAGCATGTATGTGTCTGAGATATGTGTACATATATATGTCTGTATTATATTCTCATATGATATATACACACATGTGCACTGTCTCAGGGGGAGTGCCCTCTTGATTGTTGCTCACTTTGTTTTTATATGACAGTGTGTATGCCTGTTCTGTCTGTTCTGATTTCGCAGCCAGATCCAAAGCAGAAGACCATCTACGACCTTTTCCAGAGGACCTTCTCTGAGAGTGGAGATGATACTGAAGTTTTGCTTTTGGAGGCAGCTGATGCTTGCTGCGACTTTGACTCTGGCAGTGCCTTGCAAGATACAGGAGGAGAGACATGTTCAGTGAGTCCCCCCAAAAGGCGGCGTATTGAGGAGATTTTAAAGTGTAATGGTGACAGCAAAAGAGTTGATGGCTAAGAGATTTTTTTATTAAAAAAGAGAAAACAAAAGCAATCAAGTATTATTTTTTTGAGTTTTCAAAAATAAAAGACTCTAAGTTTTATGTATCTCTAGTGCATTTCATCTCAAAGGATGAGAAGGCAATCTGACAGTGTGACAGGTGAGCAGCACACACCTAGCAGCCTGCACTTTTTGCAGTCCTGGTTTTGCTGATGACTGAATGGCCATGGGCAAGTAGCATGCTGCTTTGTTTCAGCACGTCAGCTTCCACAGTTGTTTTGTTTAGAAGCAGATAATGCTTGTCTTTGCACAAGGCAGAACTGTTGTGAAAACTCACTTCTCAGCAGCTGCAGAGTGCTTTTAACAATCAGTCTTCCATCTCCCAAGACTTTTAGTCTGTATTTGTAGGAGTCAGTTCACTGGCAAAATTTGGCCCTTCCTTCGGTCACTCACAAACCGTCTCTCTGGTATTCAGTTTGGCAGTGAGGGGAAAAGATCCTGACAGATATTCATGTTCTGTGGAGGTGGGGGAGAGGTCAGAGCCCCACTTTTTTGTCTGTGCAGAGCAGTCAGTTCCTTGAAGCAAAGTAGTACAACTGTCTGCCAGGAGGTGCGTATTGCCTGTTAGGCACATGTCTGCCTGAGCACGCTGATCTCTGGCCTCATCTGCTAAATCTTAGGATCTGCTAAATCTTGGGACCTGCCCCATGGCACGTGCTTCTTGTGTCAGTGGAGGATGAAGCTTGTGCTAACTGCCAGGGACTAAGCCTGGCTGCTCAGGAAGGGTGTGTGGGTCTGTGTTTTCTTCGAGACTTGAGACTGATTTCCACAGATGAGTGAGGAGAGGGGGACATGTGCAGACTTCTGCTATTGTTTTGTAAGAAACTGATGGTTCTGGACTGAGCTGTTGAAATAAAAAGTTGTTTCAAGTCATGGTTTCCAAGCTTTTGGTACTTTTCCTATTTTAGAATTTCACCTCCCATTTGGATCTTAAACTTGAGAAATATGTGATGCAGTGGAAATATTAGCTTTTTAAAATATTTACAATGGCTGAAAGATAGGTCTTTCTGTGGATGCTTCCTTTTGTGCTTTCTAAAATGCGTCAACTTTCAAAAGGGAAACTCCCATGATACTTTGCTTATAGATGAATCAGCTACTTCAATCAGACATTTAGGCTGGTACCCTAGGACCTGTTATTTGTTCCTACTACAACTCTGTGCAGATTACACTGAGAATGCCAAAAGCAGCACTGTTGCTTGATGCAGTGATGAAGATGCCTGGGTTTTATGATGGTCTCTATCATGCTGTCGGCCCTGTGAACTGGGAGACCTGAACTCCCAGCCTCAGTGTCACCTGAGCAAACCTGCTCTTTGGTTCCTTTCAGGAGCTTGTGACACAGTCGCTGTCCCTTGGGCCTTGCCTTATTCCACTTCACGGCAGCGATGCCTCTGCAAAAACCCCAGAGGCCACTTTTGATGTGGGCTTGATGTAAAGGCAGATGGCTCTGTTTATTGCAACTGGTCTTTCCAGGCATCTCTGTGTGGTCGTCTTTAATTTTTTGTGTATTATTGCCAGTGCGGTGTAGTGTGATCCCAAGTTAATGTCTTTCGCACTTCTGGTCTTAGTACTAGAATATAGTTGGAAATGGGCTAGTGTTAAGCAAATGTGACTGTGGAGTACAGGAGAAGATACAATTTCATGGAGGTAGTAGTGATCTATGGTTTACAGTCATAACCTGTAGGAAAGGGTGGGGGAAAAGGCTTACATTGGGCTTCTGGAAGCCAGAAGCTAACACGCTGTGCAGATGACGTGCTTGGCTTGTGCGGATTCCAGGTACTAACAAAAAGACCTCTCTTCCGCAGTCGAGGAGGAAAAAGTTTGTGCTACAAGATCAACCTGATAATAACTGGGATGTTTTTTCCTGCATCCAAGGGTTTGATTATCCTGTTTTCAGCAAGTGTTGTCATGGAAATGCCTTAACAGGCTGTGTGTGCAATTGTGCTGGGTGGAGACTTGCTTTTCATTCATGACTGCAGAAGGTGCTTTGGTGTGTGTGCAAGTGAAGAGGGCTAGGACCAAGGATCCTGTGGCTGGCCGACTGGAGGAAATGCTTGATCTCTGGGTTTGAGACAGAGCGAGTTAAACATCATTTCTTTTGCTCCAACAGCTGGCCAGGAGGTAAATAAATACTTTTTGACATTTTAAGTGTCTTGCTGCTTGAACACAGAGCATTTTATCTGTTTCTAGAGCACATGATCTTTCTACTTGCAGAGATGGTTCTGAGTAAGGGGTGAGAAATGTTGCTCTCTGCCTACTGAAAAAAATTATGGAAGGCATTATTTGTATACCCGTATTGTCATCTCCTATAGGAGTGATTGTGTTCCTCCTTGTAAAGCTACAGCGACTTCAAAACAGTATTTTTCAGAAATCTGCTGAAAGTACCCTTGGAGAATACTGCTTCTCATAAACTGGGTTTATCTTATCCATATATTGATAAATCCCAGCCCTGTTCTTTCTTTGTTAGGACCAGTAAAATCTCAGCTGGTTTGCTGCAGAGTTACAAAGGCTCTTCAGGCACACCTGAGGTTCACTTTAGCCTTACTAGATGAAAAAGGGGAGAAGAACCTTGCAGGAAAGTGCTTTTAATCGTTACATCAAGGCGTTGGAAAGACTGTGCAGGCCTTAGCCCAATTACACCATTAGGCTGTCATTAATATGATGAGGAGGTGGCTGGGAAGCTGCCAGCAGGCTCAGGCAGGCTCTCCAAGGCTTGCTGAGGAGAATTTGTACAAGGTAGTGTGCAGGTTGCCAATGAAATCCGCAGGCAGGCTCAGGAACATGCAGTGCTCTTGAGAACTCATACACCTGCTTGTCGAAGATGGTATAGCTGTGATTTTTTGGCATTATCTAAAGCCCAGTAGAATAAAGGGAAGGCTCCATCTTACTGGATCTTGGAGCATCTTACTGTGTCTGGATGCCTGCTTGTACACCTGTGTCTGTGCTCTCACCCATGTTAGAGAAAGGCGTGTTTCCAGGAAGGATGCCAAACCAGGAACAACAGGTAAAAATACCCGAACAATAAAATGGAGCAGTTCAAACTAAGTCTTCCGCACACGAAGCTGGCCAGCCTGGGGCGTGCGGAGGGGTTCAAGGTGGTGGGCTGTCGAGGCAAGGCTTTTGGAGCTGTGCTGGCCTGTCTGCATCCATCTCCTCGGTCTCTGGAAACGTACGTTTATTTTGGCAGTGCTGGGAATGGCTGTCCCCTGAGGGGGCTGGGTTTGGTTGTTGGCAGAGCTGCCTGGTAGATGAAGGCTACGACCATGCGGTGTACTGTCACGGCGAACTTTAACTCTGTAGTTACAGACTGGAGAGCATCACTAGATCCTCTCTCCTGGATGTGTTGGGTGTCATTATTTTAATTTTTTAACCGAACAGTCACAAAGCAGCCAAAGGAACTTTTTTTCCTTTTAATGCTTTGGTATCAAAGACGTATCCTGTGAGTCATCATGATGATGAGGATCTGAAAAGGGCAAATATATTCCTAGGCTATATCAAATGAGATTTTGACTCAACAGAGGGAGATATAAATACCGTTGCCTAAAGCCCCGCTGAGCCCTCATCTGGAACAGGACTCTGGCCCACCAGCTCCCGGCAGGACCTGCTCAGGCATGGGCAGAGCTTGCAGGGGTGATCAGGGAGCCGGGTACGACAGAGGGGATTAAAAATGAGAGTGTTCAAACTCGACGCAAGAGCCAAGAGGGGATGCGGCATCTGTCCATGAGCGTCTCTGAAAGTGCAGACCCCAGCCAGGGAAAGACAAGCCCAGTGGCAGGGTACATTGTAGTTGTTAATTCCCCGTTAATTAAATAGACTGCAAATGAAGAGGAGGGCTGTCGTGGGTTGGGGCAGCCGGAGTGGGTGTGGGCCTGTCACAGGAGGAAAAGCACCTTAAAAGTACTAGGGGATGGTTTCTCCGGGTGGGCTGGGCAGCCTCGGATCCCTCCTGGCAGAGGGGATGAGCCGCAGCCGGCTCTGTGCGTTAAAGTGCTCTCGGGCTGACCGGGTTACATTTCTTAATGGAGGTGGGTGGGTTGTTAATCCCGTTAGGATCATGGCAGCTCAGCGGCGTTGGTACAAGTTTTGCTCACCCACACCAGGCTGAGCGGCAGAGGAGCCCTGCAGGGTCCCGGCCCTGCGCTTTGGGGCTGGTAGGGGAGGTGGCTCAGGTGTCCCAGCCGTCTGGGGCCACCGCCTGGGTGCCAGGAGGCCACCTCTGCAGTGGCACACACAGACTTTTATGGCTGCTTGTCTCAGCACTGGATGTCACCAAGGAAATTGCGTAGTTACCGTGGTTGCACCTGATTGGGTTATCTTGAAACCTCAGGGTTTAGGGTTTGGTATGTTTTGAGATTGGAATTCTTCCTCGTGGGTTTAGATATATATTTTTTCAAACTTTTTTTTCACCCATTCTGGAGCTCCAGTCTGGCTTGCTGTTCGTTTTATTCCGACATCTACCTACTACTTATTTTCTTCGAAAATGAGGTGAGTGAATTCCACTGCTCCATCTCCTTCCCTGCTGTGGGTTCCTTGGGTGGAAATCCAGGAATCTGAGCTCTTGGGCAACATCTCCTGTCGGCGCTGCTGGGGCTGAGGTACCGCTTGGGTTTCCCTGGTGCACGGTGTTTTCCGAGCGAGGCATCTCCCGAGAGCTGGGTTGTGGTTTGTGGGCTCCGGGCTTTGGGTAACCCGCTGCCATGGGAGAAAGGGACCAGCGCGACCATAGAGCTGCGCACCGCCACGGTGCAGACAGACCCATTCCGAGCCCCATCCGCTCCACCCGCCGTCGCCTCGCCGCCTCACTTCCGGCGGCGCCGGCCCCC